CTATTAGTAACGTTTTTCATAATGCTAAACTTTTTATAAAGTACGTTTAAATGTTGTTTAAGTGTATTTGTAAAAGTTGCTGAAGTTTTTTATAATATTTGAATATCCACTTTATTTTTTTAAAATGCTTTTCTAATTTGATTAAAGTTTGGAATTACTAATGTTGTTTGAACAAAGAATAAACTTAAAGAGTTTTAAGTGCTTTATAAAAGCAATAACACTAATATAGTTTTATTACTTTTATGATGTAGTTAGTGACTAGAGTGTTATTACTTTTGTAGTCGTAAGTTTATTGTTTTGTTTTGTTTTTTATAACTCTTTCTCTAACAAACTAATTTGCTTCCTGAAAACAAAGTACACGGTTTTGCATAAGCTTAAATTTTGAAGACCAGATATTTTTCTAAATTTTGAAAATCGCGATCGTTTAATTCAACCCTTGTAAAGAAAACTGTAGTTTAACAAAACTTTAAGATTAACATAATTTATTCTACTTAACTCTTATCACATTTCTTTCTAATGTATTGGAAGTATTAATTAAACTAACCTTTTTGATGAACTTCGAATTCTAACAGACAATACAGAATTATTTGGAGATGGGGCATTATTACATGAATTATGGGCTTGCAAAGCTTCTCTGTAAATAGTTAATTTACTGCATTCAGACCACCAACAATTTGCACTAACACCACTTAAATCTGAACCTTCCTCATTTATCCCCACTTCAACAAGTTCCTTAATATATATATATATATATATATATATATATATATATATATATATATATATATATATATATATATATATATATATATATATATATATATATACATATACATATATATATATATATATATATATATATATTTATATATTTATATATTTATATATTTATATATATATATATATAGTTTTTTTTTATATGTATAGTTTTTCACCATAGGTTTTCAACTAATTTTTTTTTTCAATTAGATAACAATGCAACTATATTATCAAATACTAGTATTGGGAAAGATACAATACAATTTATAATATAAACATACCAATAATCTTGGATTAAATGCAAAAATACTTTCACACCGAGTCATGTCAGTTAGCAACCAATGACCACCAGCTCTAACAAAAATCGAAATAAATAAATCTTCAGATGGTAAGCTACACTTAAGAAGAATCTGCATTAATGCTCTTAAAGTATGATAAATACATTGTTAACAATATAAGAATTTTGTCAATCGTTGATACCGATATTAAAGGATCTAAAAAAAACCTACGCAGGTATCTGTTTCATTAAATTAATTATAGCAAAACCATTCCAATGCTGAGCAGCAAAAAGTTCTTCTGCGCAAATTCCCACTATCTATAATTGTAACAATTCCATAATGGTGATAAAGCATAGAAATATAAAATAAATAGATATAAGCAAATAAGTATTAAGTTAAAATTTCTTTTCGACTGACTATTTAAATAAAATTCAAACATTTTTTATTATTTCCCATTGGTTCAATAAAATTTAAAGAATTTTTGTTTTAAGTGTAGTTTTAAAATGAAACTAGTTTAGATTTTTCATGATTTTCATGAAAAAACATCATGAAAAATCTAAACCAGTGGTACAAAAAACAACGGTCACCTGTATAAAATTAAGAGACCCATAAGGAGTACTGAGCTCAGGAAGTTGAGGATCATATGTAAGTAACATGTGCTCAATATAATTGTGTTTAGTATCAAGGGCTTGATGCCAAGAAATATGATCACCACTGCAAAATGAAGTTTCTAGAAAAAAATTTATACCAAATAAATAATAAGTATGTATTAAAATTTAATGTAAAAAAAATAATTATTATTAGATGGTTAAATATAGAGAATTTGTTAATAAGTAAATACACAACTGTTATGATTGAGATGTAAAAAAAAAAAAAAAAAAATTGAAATAATTTAACAACAATTATAATTTATTCGTACAATATACAAGTATAATAATTTATTTTCTTTGTTTTTTGTAATATATTGTTTTATTTTCCTTCATGAAATCTGTGGCACAATACTTCTGTTATTCTTTCTTTAAAACTGTTATGCCTACTTTAAGATGAAATTCACCTTGCTATCTATCTTTACAACTTTTCTGATATTATGAGACACACTTTATATACATCCAAAAAAAGGAACATTTGGAAAAAGAAAAACTCTAATAATTAAACACACATTTAAAAAAATCTAGAACTAGTTTTATACCTGTTTTAAAAACATACTTTGCTAAACATTGCATGAGTTCAGCAGGCCAGGTTGGTGGGGAATCTTCATCGGCATCGCGTTTCAGACGCATGGTCAGTTCAAAACCAAAACCACTTATGCCATCATTTCCAGTAACACTAATTTAGTTGAGAGTTTTCAAATTAAAACAAATCAATATTTCTAACTGCTGTTACCTAACAATGAACAATGTTCAAAACACAAGTCATTTAAAACCTTTTTATAACTTGTTACAAGAACTTATTACTGTCGTTGTTTCTCAATAACTAACTAATAAGTTTTATTTTTAATCATATTATCTCTCTATTATTACATAATATTTATCTTTCTTATATTATAACATACACAGATGAGTTTTTTACAGGAATTCGCAGAATTTCGGAAATTCATTTAAAACTTTTTTAAGTTTCTGGAAATTTCTGGCTTTTATTTGCTATTGATTTGAGAAAAAAATATATACAATTTTAAACACAACATTTGCATTTAAGCAAATATGTTTTCTATAAGTGAAATTTTCATGAGATCAATTTTTGCAATAATTTTTCTTTTAAATTCATCCAAATTAACTTTTCCTATAATTTCAATTTAAAAGTTTACAAAAAAATTTTGTTGTGAATTATTACTATCACAGTAAAGCTAAGCGTTTATCTGACATTTCTGAGATAGACAAAAAGATTAAAAACAAGTTTTTCTAGAATTTGATTAAAGAGAAATATAATACTGAAGAGTATTATTCAACCTATATAAAAAAAGATAGATAAAGCTTGATCAATAAGTTTATTCCCTAACTGAAGATTGAAATATATAATTTCATCATAATTATATATTTTTTGATTTGATATTTTAGGTAGGATGTACAATATGCAGCAAAGACTTTTATTATGGAAGTGAAGGTAAAAAAATCTTTACTCAGTCACTTAAAGTCTAAAATACATTGTCAAAACTGTGCAACAATTAAGTCAAACGAAATTATACTGTCATCATTTTTTACTAATTTAAAAAAAAAGATACATGTATATTGCCATACAACACTCCAGATATCAATTATTAGCAAACAAGACCACCGCGCTAGTACTTGATACAAATATATAAATATGAAGAAAAGATATACTGCATGACCTAAATGGTGAAAAATAGTTAGAGAATCTATTATTGATCATGCAAAAAAGTGCAGAAAAAGAAAAGCTGAGGGATGTTTTGCAACAGAAAATTATAAGAAAAAAAAATATTGATTTCTGAACCATTGTCTGACATTTAGTATTTTAAAAAGTAAATAAATTATTATGCTTTGCAAGTTAAACTGAGATATTATTATATATTTGATTTTAGAGAATTTTAGAGAAACATAATTATTCAGTAGTTTTCAGTAACCTTATTTATCTCTTTACCTGTGTTCCAGAATTTACCCTCATATAAGTCAATTTGTTGGCTGTAAATTTTTCTGGGATTTTCTGTAATTTTGATTAAAAAAATTTTCTAAGATTTTCATAGAAAAAATATTTCCAGGATTTTCATTAAGTCAAAAACTCATCTATGAACATAACTATTTAAAAGAATGACGAAAGTTGAATAAAAAAACTTATATATTTGTTTGAATTAAATACAGCATTGCCTTCTGTTTATAGCCTTTTTTAAATAATTCTAAAGAAATATATATTAAGAATTATCTCAAGTTAAATTTTTATACAACAATTTAAAAATTATAAAAACATCCTTAAAAAAACTTTTAGTCAACTTACTCATGAACTCTACCATCGCCATATAAATCGGATAAACCACAACTAATGTAATGCCAGTGAGGAGGTATTCCTAACCGAGCATCCCCTGCATTAGCGTACATTGTTATATAATCAAGTGGATCTGGTCCATTCAACCTAAATATATTCAATAAAATATATATTTGGAACTTACAGTGATTATATATCTTTCCTCTACTGTGAACTATTTATAAATTAATTCATAATTCAAAAAAATTTATTACTGTTCATTTCACCAGAATATTCTGAAAATAAATTGCAAAAAATACATTAAACAAAAAACTTAATTTTGTCAAAAATATTTTTGTTTAATTTGTTAATTTTCATACATTTAACTCTTTCAAGCAACCTTGTCTCCATCAGGATAGTCTCATTGTATTTACAAACAATTTTATAAAAGAAATGAATTTTCAAAATGAATTATCATAACTAGAGAATGATGAAATGGCTTGAGGTTGTTCACTTATACAAAACATGTAAAAATTTAAAAACTGAATAAATAAAAACATAGTAATTCTAATCCTAAAAAACACCTTACCAGTATTTTACTAATGCTGAAACTTGCAATGGGTTTGTTTGATTTGGATATATTTTTCTTAAGGCATTATATATTGCAAACAATCCAGCAGGTGTTGACATTTTGCTGTAATTTTTTTATCATATCAGAAATACTAACCTATTGAAGAAATAATTTCTTTAAAAAATAAACTGATTAAGCTGATAAATAAAAAGAAAATGTAAGAATACTTGCTTATAAATCTTTTTTTTTTTTTTTGAAATTCCATGTTTTTATCTTTTTGTGGTTAAAAAAAAAAGTGATTAGATTTCAGATGTCACTTTATAGAATCTTATGAATCCTCTGAAACATTTTATACAACAATTTTATACAATAACTTTTATACAACAGAATTTTGTTTATAACTTTTTATCATACAACTTTTAAAGTTGTTATTAAATCAATTTAGGTAGTTGAGGCGCTAGAGATAAAAGCTTAATAAA